GCCTCCCGTGTGCCAGGCCTGGGAGCAGAACGGGCCATGAGTAGCACCCAGTGTTGTGCTCGGTCACTCAGGACACAGATATCTAGTGTTCATATATCTCAGTGAGCTGGGTGGTAGCAACTCAAATTTCAGATTAGTAAAAGGAAGCTTGGGAAGGGCTGAGTAACTTTCCCCCAGACACACAGAGATACAGACTAGTGGTTCTCAGGTGAGGCATCTGACAAGGTTTGGGGTCATTTGGGGCTGTCGGAACCGGGCATGGCTCCTGGCGTCTCGTGGGGAGAGCCCAGAGATGCTGCTGGGCGTCCCACAACGCACAAGATGGTCCCCACAGCAAAGACTTCTCGGGGCCTAGGTCTGGGCAGAGCGGAGGTGGTGACTTCATGAGGGCTGGCCCATACCCCGCTGGAGTCGGGGGTGCAGGGGGAGCCCTGGAGGGGGCCGAGCCAGGCCCAGGAGCAGCCCGCGGGATGCCTCTGTGTGCGGGACATCTGCTCCGGGAAGCTGCGGCGCATGCAGTTTTGCATGTAAGAGAAGTCAAGTTCAGCCTTGTTACAGTAGCAGAAAGCAGCCTCGCCCCGACAGATACACCTGTCGATGAGGATGGGGGTCACGATGCAGGGGTGGCTCGGAGCCCCGGGGCCCTTACCTCCCAAAGGGAGGCTGGGAGGCTCCAGCAAGGTGTTGGGCGGAGAGGCCGGCATGCAGCCTAGCGGGGGGTTAGCCCCTAGCTCTCCGAAGCCCGGGCCTGGGCTCTGTCTCGAGGTGGCCCCCGGCAGCACCCGCCAGCCAGCGTCCCGGCCACCGTGACCATCGAGCGGGGAGGAGGAGACGGTGAGAGCTCGCGGTCCAGATGGGGGCCAGCTTGTGGGGGCCGCACGGGAAGGAGGCCGCACGCCAAGCCCCGCGTCAGCCCGGGCCCTCAGTGCCGGTAGCGAGGCTGGGGTGGGCAGCCGTGGTCTTCATCTTCCCATAGACGCTGCACGGAGTGGGAGGAAAGAGCTCCAAATCGCCTGGACCCGTATTTAATTATTTTGATTTATTAACACTGAGCGCACAGAGCAGTCCCCTGCATGTGACATCCCTCATTCCCCCGCGAGTCTGGGAGTCTGGTTGGCCTCCTGCCGCCGTCCGCACGGTCCTTTTTCATTCCTGTCATCGTGATTATTTACAGCGGCCGGGCCGGTGGGAGCAGGGCGAGCGCGCAAAGTTCACGGCAAGTTCAAGGGCTGGCCATGAGGCCTTGCGAGCCGCCGTGAAAATCGGAGCGCGGCCTCGGGGCTGGGGGAGGGGGCCCTGATGGTCCGCGGGTCTCCAGGGTCCTTGGCCCGACGGGCAGAAGGCTCGCCATGAAGCCGGGGACTGAGGGGTGTCCTTGACAGAAGGCTGGCCTGCTGTGGGGTCTGCACCCCCTTCTCCCCTCCTCACCTCTCCTTCCCCTTCTGGCCCCTCATGCTCCCCCTCCTCAGTCTCCCCCTCCTCCTTCCCCACGAGGGGTCCAGATCCACTTGGAGAGCCGGGCGCCCGGCTAGACCCCCTTGCTGCAAGTCCCCGGTGCTTGCATTTCCCCCAGGCAACCCCTGCCTCCTTGTCTCAGAGACGGGAAGCCCACACGGTGCGCTCCGGCTCCGGCGGGGGTGACCCCGTGGGACGTTAATGCCTGTGACGTCAGAGACACTGGGGCCCCGGTTATGACCATGGGACTGAGGCGCAGGGGGTGGGTCCTCGCAGCGCGTAGAGGGAGGGCATAGATAACGGCACCATCGGGGATGGCAACGATTTCTTAGACAAATGCACCGTCAAACACTGTTCGGGGCGCCTGGGGGGCTCAGTCGCTGAAGCGTCTGCCTTCGGCTCAGGTCCTGATACCGGGGTCCTGGGGTCGAGCCCGATGTCGGCCTCCCTGCTCCGCGGGGAGTCTGCTTCTCCCTCTCCCTCTGCCGCTCCCCCTCTCTCTTTCTCTGACAAATAGATAAATAAAATCTGAAAACAACAAAAACAAAACACTTTTCGGACACGCACGATGACCTGGAACCTGCCCCGCGCAGCCCCTTTGTGCATCGAAATGGCTACCGTGGGGCTCGGGCAACGTCATGCTCAGTGACCTGGGGTTTCTGGGACAGTTGTCATGTGTCCACTGGGGCTTAGGCCGTGGCAGTCCGCTCAAGTGAATGCAGAGGACAGGTGGCTCTGTAGCAAGGGGAAGCCACCCCTGGGACTGCGTCTCCTCTCGCCATCCCGGATGTGGGTTGGCAGGGCTGTGGGGAAACCAGGTAAGGGGCCTCCGTCAGAGACCGCGGCGGCCCCCAGGGCCAACCCCTGTGCGCCCAGAACAGTCGTGCTCCAGCAGCCGGTGGACATGGCCCCAAACGCTGAGAAAGAGCCACTGTTCTTGCCGCCCTTGCGTGGGGATCATCTGCTATCTCATCCGCATGGGGCCGGGGAGCTCCTCATCATCACCACATCTCAGCAAGTCCGGCTTTGTCGCCCATTTCACGGCTGGGAAAACTGAGACTCCCAAGCCCGCCGCTCATCACTGAGCTCACAGGGAGCAGCACGGAAGCCTCATCTGTCCCCCATGTTTCGCCATCTTCCACATCCTGCGTGGCTCCCTCCTGTTTCAATAGAATCGGGTTTTCTGTTTGGTTAGCCTGGGAAGCTTGGGCGCTTCAGCCCCGTCACTATGTGCCTAGAAGGAAAGAAGCATAAAAATGCCTCAGCGCACACCCGGCGACCGGGGAGTGGAAGGAAGCCAGATGAGGACTCCTGCCCACAGGGTCACCCTCCCCGCTGCCCCCGACGTGCACCTGTCTTCTCCGAAGATGGGCTGATCTGGAACATTTCTTCCGGAAATATAAACTCCCGTCATGGGGGATTTGGGGGCTAGTTTAAGGCCCCTGACTTCTGAGTGGCGACAATGGCCCGTTCCAGAGCAGCTAGGATGACGCGCACCAGCACCGCTCACGCCTCACACCGTCCTAGAAGTAGCCGACTCCGAACCACGGGAACAGCGGAAGCTAGACATTGAAGGGAGGGTACCAAACATTAGCTTCCTGTCCAGATCATGTGATTGTCCACACAAAACATTTCAGAGAACCAGGTAAAGGTTAATTGACCAACTAGAATACCAAGCGGGGGAGGGGGTCGGTTATAATATAAATAACCGAAAATCAAAAGCTTTTCCAGTTTTCGGCCATTATCAGCAAGAGAACGTCTTTTTTTTTTTTTTTAAGTAGTCTATTCATGGGGCGCCTGGTTGGCTCCGTCGGTAGAGCACGTGACTCTTGATCTCAGGGTCGTGAGTTCGAGCCCCACCACAGTGTAGAGATTACTTAAAAATAAAATCTTAAGGGGTGCCTGGTGGCTCAGTTGGTTAAGCATCTGAGTCTTGATTTCGACTCAGGTCATGATCTCAGGGTCCTGGGATCCAGCCTTGCGTCAGGCTCCACGCTCAGCAGGTACTCTGCTTGAAACTCTCTCCCTCTGCACCTCCCCCCGCCCCGTTCCCACTCTCTCTCTAAAATAAATAAATAGGGGCGCCTGGGTGGCTCAGTCGTTAAGCGTCTGCCTTCGGCTCAGGTCATGGTCCCGGGGTCCCGGGATCGAGCCCCACATTGGGCTCCCTGCTCCGCGGGAAGCCTGCTTCTCCCTCTCCCAATCCCCCTGCTTGTGTTCCCTCTCTCGCTGTGTCTCTCTCTGTCAAATAAATAAATTTTAAAAAATAAAATAAAAAATAGATCTTTAAAAAGTTTTTAAAAAAAATAAAATAAAATCTTAAAAGATGTATTCTAACCACAAGAAGAAGCAACATATACAATAACTCTGGATTAAACTTAAGGTTTGCCGAAGGCTATAAGGAAGGTGAATGATTTAGTAAAGAGCGTGATATCGTCACCTAGGATTTTTAAAAGTCCACCCTGCAAAAGAGGCCAGACAGCAAATATTTTCCAGCTTTGGGAGCCACTCCGTTCTGCCTTTACAGCACGCCCGCGGGACCACAGTGAGCACAGAATGATCAGCAGTGGCCACGTGCCAGGACAATTTTATCTACTGAAACAGTCTGCGAGCGACACTCTTTCTTTCTCCAGCACAAAATAACGGCAACTAGCATTCTACAACTTCTAAACCCTTCCCTCTCTGGAAATACTCCCTGCGGAGGAATTCTTGGAATTTGGACCCACGGACCAAGGAGGACAAGATGCATTCTGGGTTTGGGCCCCACCTCGCCACGTGGCACCTGACCAGTTATCCACGGGGGTGACTGTTCCACACTAAAGATCACCAGCATTAGAGAAATCTTAACAAATTTAAGTTACTCCATCTGCAACAGCCCTTCTGCAGTAACTATAGAAGGGAAATACGGTTTTTTTCTTTTTCGTATTTTTCAGAATTATCAGGGTGGGTGCTCGTTCTCCACCGAAACGGAAGTGGAAACCCTTTTAAGAGAAAGTGCCCTCTGGTTATTCTCTTGCTGCCTCCACCACAAGTATTTGAGTTCTTGTGCTATTTAAAGATGATCTTCTTATGTTTACTTTAAAGGATTGACTTTGAAGATGTTAATTTAGCCAAGACGGGGCAGCGTTGTGGTTTAGCTGCTCTGATGTTTATGAACGTAACTGAAGTCAGGCCTCCCGCGTGCAGTCCTCCTTGGCCACTTCCAGGGCGCTGGGTGGGACTTGGGGGTCACAGCCTATGGGGCTCACCCACCATCGGGAGGCTGTTCACGGCCGCTCACGTTTCATAAGGTATATTCCGTCTCAAGGTTACTGTTAAATGTAATTACTTGCATTTTATATGGATGCAAATCCGGGGGGAATGAAGGACAGCCTTGGGGTTTGACTCAGAGTTGGCGTCTGGCTGTCTACACGGCCCATGTTTCCCTGAAACAAAAGCAAGCAGGGGCTGGAACTCGGGACTTGTGCAGTAAACGCCCCCCCCCCGCCGTCGGGCGCCCACGGGGAGATGGACCCCCCTCGGCCGCTGAGGGCCCCTGTCGGCAGGCCAAGCGCACGGGGCCTGAGATGCCCCCATGGGGCCTCTGCCTCAAGCTCCAAACCACCAACCCCAACGGGGCCTGCCGACTCTTCACCAAGCCCAGGAGGGAGGCTCTGTTCCTGACGGGTCCTGCTGCAAAGGGGAAACTGAGGCACGGGGCCCTGTTCACTCTGCCAGGGGCTTCCACCGGGCCAGTGAATCAGGCCACAGCCCTGTGCCCCCCCGCCCCCGACCTGCACCATGTCCTTCCCCTCACTTCCCCACCGGCCTCCTCGGAGCCTGAAAGGCACACAGTCCAGTCTTCTCCGAATTACGCTTGAAGAAGGCAAAGACATCACCTCCTCGGGAAGGGCCCACGCCGTCCGCGGGTGTGTGTGGCCTTGTTCTGGGTGCTCAGGGACACTTTGGGCTCAGGCGTCCATGTGTGTGATGTTCCCTTCCGCTGAAGGGAAGCCCTGAGCTTCCCCCACACCGCAGGCCCCCACCGTCACCCAGAAACGCTCGTGGGCGGCCCCGGCAGCCCTCCCCAGTCCCGGCACCTCTTTCCAGAACACCCTCTGCCTACCTCTCCTGCCTTGGGCCCCAGCCGGCCCCGTGCCAGGCACAGCTGTGGTCGAAGGCCCCCTTGGCCTTCGAGTGGCCACCTGGCTCTGATTTCAGGGACTGATTTGTCCCCAGCCCCCCCCCCGACTTGGATGGAGTCCCAGCGTTTTGTCCCTGACACAAAGCACAGTGGCTCGGACGCGGGATCTGGGGGCGGGAGGCTGATCCCCGGCAGGCAGGCTGCCCGCAGAGGCCTGGCCGGGGCCCTCTGATCAGCAGTGAGGGCCACACGGTGGGTGTCCGCCCTGCTGCACCGAAAGCGTCCTGGGGAGACTTTGAAACACCGCCGTGGAGTGCATGCCTGCCCCAGTTTCTGGCTTAGTGGTTGTGGTGTGGGGTTCCCCCCCACACACTCAGGCCTCCCTGGCCTGGCCTGGGCAGTCAAGCTAGACATTGTCGAGACCCCAGCCCCCTCCGTCAGCACCGAGGCCCAGCCGGGTGGCAAACCGGGGCCCCGAACCAGAGCCTTGACGGCCAGGCTGGCCACAGACTTAGGGAGAAAGCGAGAATATGCAACTGGGGGTCCCGGGGAGCGCGCCCGTGAGCGAGGAAAGCACTGTGTCTGTGGTGACCTGCGGCCTGGCCTCTCGTCTCTGTGAGCCTGGCACAAATTAGAACAGAACCTCCCGGGCCCCAAATCCCATCCCCTGTCTGCAGCCTGTGTCCGGCTCCTCTTCTCTCCACTCGCTCTGGAGGCGGCTGCACCCCTTGACCAGGCTGGCTCTCCTGGGGCCCCCAGGCCACCTCTCTGACCCCCGTGGCTTTCACGGGACACAGCTGAGTGTCTCCTGCCTGGTCACCCCGGAGGTCTGCGTCGGGTGCCTCCCACAGCCCCTGCTCCTCAAACGGCCCTTCGGGGCTACTTTCCTCTCCTTCTCCGTGCTCCTGGGGACCGGGCCGAGCGGCATTCAGCTGGACAACTACTCAGTCCCGAGGCCAGGTTCTGTCCGCAGCCGTGGCCAGCTGGGGCTGGCTGCACTGGGGAAGGAGTCGGCTGGCTGGGGCGGGACAGAGGTGGTCGGAGGTCACAGCGGTGGACGTGCCGTATTGTCGCTGCGGGGTCACCCGGAGGGACTCTGCTGGGGCCAGGCCCAGGGAACAGTGGGCGAGGCAGGCACAGAGGCGGGCGTGCGCGTGGCCCCGGGTGGACGGGGCAGAACCAGGAAGGGGACAGCCAGTTCCTGTCGTGGAGCCCACCCCCCTCCCCCCAAGCCTCTGCTGTGTCTCCTAGCTTCTCAGAAGTTCTGACTGTCTACTGTCCTGGTTCGTTTGGGGGTAAATATTCCAGGAAGCTGAGGGTGACATCCGCATGTCATCGGGCCAAATAATATCCGTGACGCATAAAGAAATCGACTTCTATGCAGAAAAAAATGCAGACATGCCTACGAAATGCTACTTGGGTGAAGGTGCCTTCTCTCCATGTCCTGTGGCCTCCTTCATTGACCTAAAATGTCTAAAACTGTCACGACTGCCCGTTTCCTGCCCCAGGAGGTCTGGATCCTCTACCCCCGCCCGGCCTGCAGTTTCTCACTGTGCACGGGGGCCGGGGAAGGAATGTTCAAGCCACCGCCCAGCCTCCTGCTGTCAGCCCGCGTCGTTAAGAGGAAAACCTTGAGCTGGGAGGCTGTTTTATTTGAAAGTCTTGAAGCCAGATTGCCGCTAACCTTGAGGGGACGACGCTGGCGCGGTGTGGGGACCCCCTCATTTCCCGTGGAGGGGCCTCTTGTTGGCCCGTGCGCGGCTTTTCCAAGGCCCTTTCCTCGCCCCGCCCCCCGTCAGCTCCCTGTGAGTGTTCTCCTTCTCCCCCGCCATCCACACCCGTTCCTCTTCGACTTTTCATTCACAGGTCCTCCCCCTCCATTTCCACTCTGTGCCCTTCTCATTCCTAGAGATGTAACAGCGGGTTCCTTTTTTTGCCTTTGAGATCTATGCCATTCTTTCCATAAAATTGAAAACAAAAAACAAACACAAAAAACCCCACCAACCTTCCCTTAAGTGCTAACCTGCAGTCCCACTGAAGTCCCAAGGCCAGAGTCCCTTTCTGGTAACGGGCAGGTTCTCCACGTCGAGCACGGAAAGGTCTGTGCGGAGCATCCGAACTCCATGTCAGAGACCGCCCAAAGCAAAAGCGGTAATTAATACGTGGAGCGTGTGACTCTTGAGCTCAGCTCGGGTCTTGATCTCAGAGTCTTGAGTTCAAGCCCCGTGCTGGGCTCCATGCTGGGCATGGTGGAGCCTACTTAAAAAAAAAATAATGAATAAATAATAAATAAAATAAATAATAAATAAATCTTTTATGTGTTTATTTTCCTGTGAAGATTTCATTTATTCACTTGACAGAGAGAGGGAACACAAGCAGGGGGAGCGGCAGAGGGAGAAGCAGGCTTCCGGCCGAGCAGGGAGCCCGATGCGGGGCTCGATCCCAGGACCCCGGGATCATGACCTGAGCCGAAGGCAGAAGCTCAACTGACTGAGCCACTCAGGTGTCTCAAAATCTTTTAAAAAATAAGAAATAATCATCAATATGTCCTAGCCACTTGACCTGTGATGGAGATAATCTCTGCTCTCCTGGATTTTTCCAGGGGAACAAGGGGCTCTCCCCCAAAGATGAAAACCATGGGGTCTGTTGCTGATCTCCCGCAGGTGGGTCATCCTGTAGCTCCTGTCTGCAGGGGGCCCCCGAGTGCGCTCTTCCCTGCCCGCACCGCCTCCAGCCCCCAGCACAGACCCTGCCTCTGGGAGGCCCCTCAGCCTGCGGCTCACTGACCCGGCCAAAGAGGGGACAAGGTAGGGGAGTCCTTGCCCGGTCAGGACACAGGGGTCACACAGTCTGCTACCATGTGCCCGGACAAGCAAGTACCAGCCTGACCTTGCTGGCCGCGGTTTCTGAAACCATCAAGCACGGACGGTGACCTCGCGATGTGAAGATTTTATACATACGTACATGTATTTAATGGGAGAACAGAGACATGGGATACATGGAGTGTACAGCTCCGTACCTAGAAAAAAATTCAATAAAAGGTAGCTCCTTATTAATTGAGACCTTATAAAGACGATAAAAAAAGTTCTTTCAAAAGGATGAGCTGACATTGCCGAAGGAGCTGTGATCTCACGGCTCCATCCTTAAGAAGCCCTGATTCAGACAACGCTCTTCTGGGGTTGCCCCGACGCCCCCCTCCTGGAGGGGTGATGAAGCCCTCAGCCAGGTCCAAGAGTAGAGACACTTTCCTCCTGATGCTTGGTTACCCTGCATCTGCTCTTCCTCTGCAAACCGCATCTGTTTCCTCTACAGTGGCTCCTGGGTGACACCGTGCATCCCTGGTTTTCACGCACCTGCGCCCAGCACTCAGCTGTCCCCACGTTGTCACTCCACAGACTTCTCCAGCTCTGGCTGTCACTGCTCCTAAGGCGACACCACGCAGAGCTGAGCAGCACTGCCTCCGAAGGACCCTCCCCGTGCCCACCTGAGGGACACTGCGCACAGCATGTCGACGGCCACCTGTCCCCAGGACACCCCTTCCTCCGGATGCACGAGGCGGCGGGAGGGCGCACAGAGACCCCAGTCCGGGCAGGAAGAAGACAGTGTCCTGGTTCAGTGCTGTCTGGAAGCAAGACCTCCCTCCCCTAGAGGACGTCCCTCGAGGATCCTTGCCCCTTGCAGTTTGGCTGGGGGCTCTGATCTATGTCCTTTGCATGCCAGGCCCCGAATGGAATGAACATCCACCAGTGACTCATTGATAGCCATCCTAACAGAGAAAGAGAGGCAAGGCACATCCCCCGACCCTTAAAACTTGTACCCAGAAGTGACCCACATCATTTCTACCCACATTTGGATGGACAATGCAAGTCACGTGGTCATACTTGACCTCCAGGGGCGTGGGAACAGTGCCACCATTCTGATGCCCAGGAGGAGGAAGGCGCATAAACACCCATGCTCTTTGGCCAGATCCTTGTCAAAATGATTCAACCCTGACTCCACATCTAGCCCGTGGAAACCCACACCTTCACCCCTCCATCCACAGAATGTGGCATTGCTCTACGACAGCCCGATCTCCAGCGATCCAGCCAACCTCTCAGCTGTAGCTGTTTCCAGGTGAGTCAGGTAGGAGACTCTCTGGAGCATCCAGCTTTGCAGAGACTCTCCGGGACCAGTTGAGAGGGTGGAGAAGTACCTCCCGCTTCCCCATGGAGGGAGACAAATGCTCAGCACACCGATTCTCCCCCAGATCATTTCTCCTGCCTTCCTCATATGTCCTGGAAGACGGGGGTGGATTAAGCATAAAACTGGTTGTACAACATCCACTGTTTTATCCACTGTGTTCAGCCTCTGGGGCGGGGGAGAGTGTCTCTGTGTGGAAGCCAAGACAACAGGGAAAGTCTCATTTAAAGTTCTTTTCTTAAGTCAATCAGAGAAAGACATGTATCCTATGACCTCACTGATATGAGGAATTCTTCATCTCAGGAAACAAACTGAGGGTTGCTGGAGTGGTCGGGGGGTGGGAGGGATGGGGTGGCTGGGTGATAGACATTGGGGAGGGTATGTGCTACGGTGAGCGCTGTGAATTGTGCAAGACTGTTGAATCACAGATCTGTACTTCTGAAACAAATAACGCAACATATGTTAAGAAAAAAGAAAAAGAAGAAGAAGATAGCAGGAGGGGAAGAATGAAGGGGAGTAAGTCGGAGGGGGAGACGAACCATGAGAGACGATGGACTCTGAAAAACAAACTGAGGGTTCTAGAGGGGAGGGGGTGGGGGGATGGGTTAGCCTGGTGATGGGTATTAAAGAGGGCACGTTCTGCATGGAGCACTGGGTGTTATGCACAAACAATGAATCATGGAACACTACATCAAAAACTAATGATGTAATGTATGGCGATTAACATAACAATAAAAAATTAAAAAAAAAATAAAGTCCTTTTCTACATACAGTCTCAGAGACGAGGGATTACAGTCCCTAACTCCTGTCCTACCAGAAGTTTCTAGAACACTTGGATGCATTTGAATCTTTGAATGCTATCATCACCTCCGTCACCTCTGTAAGCAAAATCTGGGGTTAGCATACTTGCTCTCTTCCCTAACACACACACATGCATGCATGCACACTCGCACACACACATGCATGCATGCACACACACATGCATGCATGCACGCTCGCACACACACATGCATAAATAAAATCCCTCCCCCAGCAGACCGCTGACCCACCCCATGAGTTTTAAAGCCATCTCTCTTCTGGTCACTGGGAAGATGGATTCTGGCACAAGACAGTCTGGATGCAAAGGGTCTGAAAAGGAAGATTGCAGTCACCCTGCCCGGAAGGTCTGGGGGTCTGAACGAGGTAGAAATAATGGAACCAGAACAGGTCCGGGGGATGTTGGTGAGACAGGATATATCGATCTTCCTCATGTTAAGTGAAAACTGCACATTTGTAAACACATGTCAGTACAGACTAGGAGGTGATCACCGAGAGACAAAAGCCATTCTGCTGAGTGCGGGTGGACCCTGAGGGCTGTTGGAGAGCAGACGGACAGCTTGAGAATGCCTGTCAAGGGGCTATGGAAAAGAATCCATTTCACGGAAGCAATGGGGTTTGGGGGTCTCTGACAGCGGGGCCCTGCAGTTTACGATTCTGGGGTAATGTATCTGGTTCCAAGTTTTCTGGCACAGAAAGCCAAAGGAGATCCCAGGTTATGCAGATTTAAAATTTGGACAACATGAAACAGATGCCTCCAATTGTGGAGACTAACTATTTCCTGGAATGGAACTCATGCAGGGATTTATTGCCCCTTGTAGTAGGCAGTACATTCCACCACGGTTTTACAAGAAATATTGTTGAATTTCTCGGTACAAAGCTCCATATGGGCAGGGGATGTGCCCGTGAACGCAAGTCTGGAGCTCTCTTTAGTGGCAGACTCAGCACTGTGCATTCTGACCCTCAGGGATAAGCCTCAGAGCCCATTCGCCTGGGGCCCCCAGATCCAGCATCAGAGGTCAGCTCCTACCCAGACGAGAAGGGCGCATGTCCGCTCAGGCACTTTTTTTTTTTTTTTTAAATCATCGTGGTGAGTTGGGGCTTTTCTCAAGTGAGATGGAGCATTTCCGTTAGAGAGGGTACAGGATGGGACTTGGGTTTGAGGAGGCTCCCTGGTTGTTAATCAGGGTAAAAGGGAGAAAAACCAGCTACATGGCTGTTCTCAAGATGAGGTCAGAGATGGGGAGCATAATTCCCAGCGTTGGCAGAGAAGAGTGGACGGTTTCAAGTAGAATCTGGGAAATCAAATCTACAGAATGAAACCGGTGACGCAGTGAATGAGTCGCTGACAGCACCTCAGAGAGCGTCCTTCAGGACACGGTGCACGGTCCATCCAACCAGGCGGCCATGAGCGGTCAAGACGCCTTGGGACTGGGCTGGACACAAACGCTGGGGCGTGCGGGACCGGTGGGTGACGGTTGTCACTTTGAGAGTTGAGGCCATGATCCTGGCTGAGAGTAAAGAAGAGGAACAGCGGAGTTGGGGGCCGCCGAGTGGTGGCCAGAAAGGCAGATGGGGCTGGGGTCTGGGGCACCAAGCAGATTCGTGTCCTGAAGGGGGAAATGTATTCCAGATGGGTCCTGTGAGGACTGAACGCTGGCGGTGTGTCCTCTCCAAGGACAGATGGCCCGAGGCTTCCTGATCTATCTGGTGGGACAGATCTAGGTCTCTCGACTTTCCACCGCCGCCGACCCTTCGTCAGCCACGGTTTCCACACCCTGTGGCCAAATACCACTTCTCTCAGCCTGCCAGCACCGTATCCCGCCGTTTTTCCAAGTGCTAATCCCATTGTAGGAGGAAGAACAAATGTGCCGAGAAGCTGAGTTATGTTAACCCATCAGCTCTTTGAAACGGCTTCTTAAAAAGATGGATGACTTCACTTTTCAGTGATTGAAATCAGAAACTGAACATGATGCAATGTGTAAATCTTCCAAATTTGAAGAAAGTTGAAATCATATTCTGAGACACAAAGACCAAGTTTGGTTTTTCTACTTCTAAGCCTTCTGTAATAAAACACGCCAAAAATATCTCAAGAAAAGTAACTATGAAAGATCACTCCATCCACCACCCCTCACCCTGCTGTTTTTCTAAATAAGGACCAGCACTGTGGATTCTCTAAAAATCATAAATTATTTTCATATTTTTAGTAATGCAATAACCACATGTATAATATGAGTAAAATATGATGAAAAAATTTATGAGTTGTTCTTGGAAAAAGTCAAATTCTCTACTTGTATCAAATACAAACCAGTCTGTCTTTTTAATAAGATTCCAAGAAGGGGCATATTTGGCTGTTCAACATAATCTATCAAAGATAGAAGTAAATTATTATATCATTTGTCTTCAAAATATTTCATGTTCTAATAGGTCTGTATCAAAGAGGATTAGATTCAAGCAAAGCCAGCTAATTTCAAGCATTTTAAGATGGGGCATGAATGGCAACATTGAGCATCTTCCATCTGGCCCACAGGCCTGCAGAACCACTCAGGAAATCCGCACACCGGGGGTCTGCCGTCCTGGCTCCTAAGAATGTGATCGGTGTTGTGACCCTGGAATGTTCACACATTTTAAAAATCAACCTCTCCATGTTCAATGTAAGGAAGAACGGATGGGTTATTTGGTGCCGCACATAAAAAGAGAAGTGGTAGAACAAGAGAGAGAGTGGTAGAGTTAGAGAGAGAGAGAGAGGGGTTAAGATCATTTTCTTAAATGAAACTAGCATTTTGTTTTAATATTGTATTTTTAAGTCATCTCTACACCCAACATGGGCCTGAAACTCCCAGTCCTCCCAGCCCCGAGATCAAGAATCCCACGCTCCACCGACTGAGCCAGCTGGGCACCCCTAAAACTAGGATTTTGGTTAGATTATACAATCCCCTAGATGATGGAGATTTGGAACACTTGAATAAGAAGAACACCCTTACCTACATTTAAGCGATCAGAGCACTGGGACAAGCAGACAAGCCAGCGGCACTCTTCAATTATTATGGGAGGGGAGGGGCAGTGGTGGATGGGGGGAGTGAAAGTTTGCTCAATGTCACCGCGCACAGGAACCCGTCTGGCTGCCCCCTTCATTTTTACAACTCATTGCCAAACTCATTTTACAAGGGAAAAAAAAAAAATCTCTGTCCATACTAAGCTGTTTCGGTTCCCTAAAATAGCTATTTATACAGCCAATATGTGTAACTGGCGAATGAGGAATATACAGGTAATTCACAAATAGAACTCTATGTAATTAAGTAAGTTACTAATGTATAGCTAAACTATAACTATGTAACCTATATGTAACACATATATGTATGTGTGTAAGCGGTTACATAATTCATAGGGCTCCCAGTAAATAGGGCTGCAGAGACCTTGAAGGTCATCTTTCTGCCAACTGCTTTCCCACAGCCACCCTACAAACCTTACTACATGTCACCCACGTGTCGGGCACGTCTCTGCGCACACCACAACGAAGCGCTCTTAAAAACCTGCGGGGTGTCGGACAGCTCCAGGGGCCAACGATGTGGAACAGCTAGAAGGTAGACCGTGCAACCATCCGAAAAGCAGTTTGGTATCACCTCCATTGGCTACCTGAGGACACAGCCCTTCCCGCCGGAGGCATGCACGGATGGAGCAGGAGTTCGAGTCCCAGTGGAGGAGAGCTGCCTGCCAAGCAGAGAAGCATTGCTCCCGGAGGTCCAGCCCTGGAAATACCCCGAATGTCCGGTAGCAGGAAAACAGGGAAATAAAAAGTGGCATACTCGTGCATGAACTACATTCAGCAACTTTTATCTTCCCAGCGAAACTGCGCAAAAGACGTCAGAAACAAAGGTATATAATTGGAGGTTTTATTCACATATGGCTCAAAAATAAGCCAGACTGACTCGTTCAGGGATACATATTTAGATAGTAAAGTACAAGAAACAACAAGGAAACGGTGCGCCCAGAAGCGGGAGTGGGGCCACGGGCCAGCACAGCGGGTGACCCAGGAGGACCGCCTCTGGGGTCTCCTGTGGCGTGGCAGGTGTGTGATGATTGTCGGCCACACAGCGTGCCTTCTGCTTCACGCACTG